AAATATTACTAACTAATTTTTCAAATATTCTTTGAACATTTTTCTATTTCATAGTTATTAAATTATTTTAAATTTTAATAATTTTCATCTAAAAATCATAGTTATTAAATTATTTTAAATTTTAATAATTTTTATCTAAAAAAATTTCATAGTAAAATATTGTTAGTTTAACTTATGAAAAATTAATAAAACCTTATAATTTTTGCTTGAAAACCTAAAAATGCCAAATTATACGGCCAAGAATTGAACCACTACCAAACAACCCATCAACAGGCAACAAGCACAATTACACCAAAACCCCGTTGGTGATTATTAGTCGCATTATGGCACAAAAATCTATAAAATTTTTTAATTTGTAAAATCTCGATTTTATCTAATTTTATTATTTTGCAATGATTTTACAATTTTACTATTCCAAATTTATAGGATCCCGATTTTAACTAAAATTTTACACAAATAACATATTTAAAATCATAAAATCATATGATTTTACGAGTTAAAATGCAATTTTGACAATTATGGTTGGGACTCCAATTTTTTAAAAAGTTATGACTAATACACACTAATATGTTTATATAAAATTTTATTCAAATTTTGTTAGGTTGTTAATTTTTTTATTTTTTTTATCAGCCAAAGAAATCACATTTATGTAAAACCAAAATAGGAGTACAAGGGGTATTCCAACCCCTAAAGGGGTGGTCCAATAATTAAACGTTTAAGATTTCAAATTAAAAATCTCAAATTCGAATTTTGAGTCGAGTGGGGAGAAATTTAAAAAAAAAGAGGGTTATACCTTCTTATCTAGCCCATTCAGATGTACAAAAAAAAAAAAGGGGATATTCTAACCTATGGGTGAGTATTGAGTATGGGTACACACGTTACTTACAAAAGTATTTACTTCTTTGGGTAAGTATTATACTCAAACTGTAGAAAAAATGGGTAAGTAATGAGTAAAAAAATAATATACTTATAAGTATCAAGTCAAGTAACAAATATAGGAGTTCAAAACTCTTTGCTTGACTTGTTTAACTTTTCTATTATCTATACTCATATAATTAAAATTTCACATGTAATTATTATACTTAATATCAGTATAATAATAATAACTTTTAAAAATAAAAATAAAAATCTATAAAAAAAATAGAAATAAAAATTAAATAAAGCCTATAAACCAAACAAATCACACTTACAGTAATAACAATTTATTTAAATAATAAATCTTAAACTATGCACATAATACATGTAATAATAGCAGTTCATATTAGACCTTTTCTTTCTCTAATTAAGGTAGGTACATATATATATAGCAACAAGTAACCCAATACTTGTTGGGTTAAATACCAAGTATAAATTATCAAGTATTTAGGTAAGTATCAAGTCTAAAAAGCTATACTTGAAAATTTTTAAGTCAAGTACCAAATATAACTCTTACACGACTTGTGCCTAAAAAAACTCACCTCTAACCTATTGGTTGTTAATTTTTTTATGTTTGGTAAGAAATTAATATAGAAAAAGTTTGTAGAAAAGTTATCAAGTGAGTTTTATGTAAAAAAAGTTATCAAATGAGTCTTACATAGAAAAACTTAGGGGAAAACGTTTTTCCTTTTAAAAAGTGTGAGAAGAAAGGCTCACATGTTAAGAATTATGTCAAAGAAAATATAAATTAAAAATGCCACCTTACTCTTCTATTTGTTGTAATATTAATGTTTGAAAATATGTAAATAATATTGTAAATAATATTGTTTGGTTAAATACCAACTTTCCCAAGCAAAATTTTTGTAAAAAGGTGATTACTTAAAGTATTATATGAAAAGTTAGAGAGTATAATACAAAAAGTAAGTTTTATAATAAAAATTTATTAAAAATTTATTAAGTTTTTAATGTTGTTGTATTTGATAAGAAATTGAGGGAAAGTTGAGGGAAAATTGGTAGGAAAAATTATTAAATGGATTTTATATCAAAAAAAAGTTATAGGAAACTTTTTTCTCAAAAAATGGTTACAAAAAAATTTACATCTTAAAAATTATGTAAAAAAATAAAAACTAAAATACTATTTCTTCCTTTGTTCATTATATTTTTAAAGTGTATTTTTATAAAACCTTAAAAGAGACATTTAAAATAAAATAAAATAAAATAAAGCAAACCAAACATCTTTAAATAATTTTGCCAACCGAAAGCCACTAGTGATTTAAAAATAAAAATAAAAAAATAAAAAGAAGGAAGAAAGAAAAAGAAGCCGCTAGTTTTTTTTTTTTACTAAATTCCTAATATCTATAAATTATATTAAATCTTAATTAATTTGGTGTTGAAATAGATCAAACCTCATGAGAAGAAAATTATTCTAATACTTATTTTTATATTCACAAAATTTAAATTTAAAATTTTATTTAGAAAAATTCAAAATTTTCTCACTTAGACCAAGAAGTTGGATGGTAAAGAAGCTACCAATGGCAGTGGTGACGTTATTTCTTTAAAAAACAGGATTTTTCTTAATTTAAGTATACGT